TTTTGATATGGATTTTATGATCAGCTGTGTCAACTTCTGCAAGAAAGACAGCTAGGATTTTGATAAGGATTCTGTTGAATCTGCAGTCCAATTTTTGGAGTACTACCATGTTAACATCGTCTTCTGGTCCATGCATGTGGGATAGTTTACCAATTATTTGGTCTTCTTCAATTTCTGTCAACAATGATTTGTAGTTTTTAGTTACAAGTCTTGCACTTCTTCTGTTAGACTTTTTCCAAATATTTATTCTTCTTAATTAAATAATTTTCATAATTAATAAAATTCTGAAATTTTCTTAATTTCATTTTTGTGGCCATGCACTTTAAAACTTGCCTTTTAACAAGACTTCCAGATGATTCTTATGAACATTAAGTTTGCAGAGTGCTGCTCTATTGACAAACTGAACTCACGTGACATTCCACACATCACTGGCAAATTCTGTCATAAATCTGCTAGCTCTCCAACAAGAAATGCCTTGAGGCAGCATAGTTACTTACAGAAAATAGCATAAAAACCAAGGATACTACTTAATGCAATGAATTAAATGTTTTTAAAGAAGAGGAAGCAATAAGATTCTAAAGGGTTTTCTGTTTTAATTTTCATGCAATAAAAAATTAGTATTAAATATTTAATTAGGAGGAAACTACAATGCTGACTTTTGTCTGAGTTATTTAGATAAGTGAGTCATTTGAAAAAATTATTTTGGTAATTGTCAATTCTCCATTTCATTTTCAATGCATTTTTTATTCTTTTTTCAATAATAGCAACAATTAAACAGTTAAACCTTATAATGAACGTGTTTCCTAAATGCTGTTCTACTTTGGCTCCAGATCTGACACAAATTACCTTTCTGATTTTGAACAAACCACTTAATATTTGTAATTTACAATTTCTTCAACTGAATAATAAAAGAATTGGACTACATTTCTCCAACATCTCTCTCTCTTTTGGTTTTATGTTAGATAATGGTAAATTTTCATCATATCCAAACATACTATATAATTTTATGAACGGTTACAGAGTCAGTCATAAGCAATATAAAGTACGATTCTGAACAAAGGCTGTGAGGTCTCATTTTTTTATACATAGTTACAGAAACAGATCAAATTCAATACAGCATTTATAGTCATGACAATATATTCTCTTAACTTGCAAGGTAGTTTTAGGAAACAATGCATTATTCCTTAAATTTGATGCATATGGGATTTAGTTACATGTAAGACTCTCCTCCCCAGCCAGATTAACCCTGTTCTGTATAATTTAATACCCATCCTTCCCCCCAAATTTCACATTAACAATTTCATAAGAATCAGTGTGTAAATTACTACATTGGTATAAAAGTCTACTAATGTGATTGATACCTTTCAAGATGTTGTGAACGTTTTTGTAAAAAGCCGCCAAACTGGAGGCATTTAACAATATTCATCTTCCTATGGCATCACTAGCCTAGATGTGCTTTGCAATTTTAATAAAGCCTTGTCTTGCTTCAGGCTTCCTAGAAGTAGAGCACGAGGCAGGGATTCTTTCTTGTTTGGCGATTTATTGAAGAAGTGGTCTCAGAGGAAACTGGTAAGAGGTTGAGGAAAACAAGAGAGGGAAGGCGAAGGGGGTTGAGCAGAGATGGGGATCCAACTGGAATCCGACCTTTGCCCGATTATCAGAGCAGCTCTAGGTGCCAATGGGGAAGGGCTGTTCTATTGACAAACTCAACTCAAGCGACATTCCACGCAGCACTGCCAAATTCTGTCCCATAACTCTGCTAGCTCTTCAAAAAGAAGTGACTTGAGGCAGCATAGTTACAGAAAACAGAGCAAGAATCAAGGATACTAAACACAGGGACTTACATGTTTTTAGATAAGGGAAAACAATGAGTTACTATAGGGTTTTAATTTCTGTGCAGTAAAAAACTAGTATTAAATATTTATTAATTAGGAGGAAACGACAATGCTGACTTCTGTCTGCATTATAGACAAAATTGAGTTGTCCCACCATGAGGCGAGGGGCTGGCCTTTTGTATCCCTGCACTACTTGTTTAATGGGTGAGTGGGTTGTAACTTCCCAGGCATCTCCTGGTAGGTGGGCCCCACTGGCCAAGGGCATTTCCCGGGAGAGTGAACAGCTGTGAACCACTAGCAGTAGCACCCACAGCAGCAGGGGGAAAACACACTGGTCAGGTAAAGGGCCAGCATCTATGAAGGTCCAGTTCCACGATTAGTGGAGAAATACTTAATAACATTATTTTAAAAAGTAATGAGGCTGTATGACTTTGATACTTTTCCTCTAGCAGAGTGTCTAAAGAAAAGCAGATTTTTAACTGAGTTCTTATTTCTGTTGCATCTCTAGCCAAATCCATGTTGATGGTTGATAGATTTTTTTTTTAAAGACAGAGTTTCACCATGTTGGCCAGGCTGGTCTCAAACTCCTGACCTCAAGTGATCACCTACCTCTGCCTCTCAAAGTGTTGGGATTACAGGCGTGAGCCAGCATGCCTAGCCAGATTTTTTTGATAAAGAACAGCATGATATTATAAAATTTTATGCATTTGGGACAAATTTTATTTTATTATTTTCCTTTCAATGAATCACAAGATATTCAACACAAAATGAAATTTCACAAAATAAAAAACTCATCTTGGATTCAATATCCACCTCCATCATCCATATTCATTCTTCCAATCTCACAGACCAGAAATTTGGAGTATGTGGCTTCTCTACCTCACACAATTTGCTCTAACTTCAAAATATACTCAGAAATGACTGACTTTTCAATGTATCTATGATTGCCATGTGTAATATATAATACAATGCATACAGTAATACAATAATTCTGTGTCACAATCACACCTAAACTGGTAAGTTTATACATTTATAAGCTGAGACGTTTTGCTGATCTTGGCTGAGCTCAGCTGGGCAGGTCTTCTGCTCTTGGCTGAGGTTCATTCACACACAAGGAGTTGCCAGTTGGCTGATCTAGGATGGCCTCAGCTGGGATGTCAGGCTCTGTTTCCTCACCTTCCAGCAGGCATTCCAGTTCCAAGAAAGAGAAAGGTGAAACATGGAGGTCATTAATTGAGCCCATCACATGAAATGCATCTGCCACACCATCACAGTCTGATATAAACTCTCACTTGGATGTTTGCAAGCTCCTACCTTCTCTCCTTTCATTCACTGTGCTGCCTTACAAACCTATTTTCCAGTGGCTCATGCCTGTAATCCCAACACTTTGGGAGGCCGAGGCTGGTGGATCACAAGGTCAGGAGATCAAGACCATCTTGGCTAACACAGTGAAAACCTGTTTCTAATAAAAATACAAAAAATTACCCAGGCCTGGTGGTACGCACCTGTAGTTCCAGCTACTCTGGAGGCTGAGGCACGAGAATAGCTTGAACCTGGAAGATGGAGGTTGTAGTGAGCCAAGATCAAGTCACTGTACTTCAGCCTGGGTGACAGAGTGAGACTCCATCTCAAAAAAAAAAAAAAAAAAAAAAAAGAGAGAGAGAGAGGCTGGGATGATAAATGTAAAATTCAGAATAGGTACTACCTCTGGGAACAGGAAGAGGAGGATGCAGCGTTGGGAAGAAATACACCAGGGGTACAGCAGTAGAGACAGACTTTCTACTTACAGCAGTAGAGACAGAACAAAAAGAACTGTTTGTTCTTTTTCCTTTATTTTTTTCCAGCTTTCTTTTTCTTTAGCCATGGTATGCATTGCATTTTTTTGTACTTTTTGTATATCATATAGTATATTTTGGTGTTCATGAAATTGCCCTTAATAACATTTTTATTATTTTTTATTTTTATTTGACTTTTAAATTCAGGGGTACATGTGCAGGTTTGTTATATAGATTAACTTGTGTCATGGGGTTCGTTTCTACAGATTATTTCATCACCCAGGTACTAAGCTTAGTATCCATTAGTTATTTTTCCTGATCCTCTCCTTCCTCCCACTCTCCACCCTCTACTCTTCCAATAGGCCCCAATGTGTGTTGTTCCCCGCTGTGTGCCCATGTGTTCTCTATGTGTCCATTTAGATCTCATAAGTGAGAACATGCAGTATTTGGTTTTCTGTTTCTGGGTTAGTTTGCTAAGGATAATTGCCTGCAGCTCCATATTCCTGTAAAAGACATAATTTTGTTCTTTTTCGTGGCTGCATAGTATTCCATGGTGTATATGTACCACATTTTTCTTTAGCCTAAGTCTATCATTGATGGACATTTAGGTTGATTCAATGTCTTTGGTCTTAACATTTTTAAACAGTCTGAGTAGAATAGGATAGGTTGGTGTGAGGAATTACTGTTTTTAATTGGAAGCAATTACATACTGCATTAAAAAGCATACACACACACACACACACACACACACACACACATATATATATTTTACATTCACATAATCAAACCAAAGCTCTCAGAATTTTCCACCAAAAAGTATTTATGGAGGGAGAGGGAGGGGTGTTATGGCGCACTTGTAAGCCCTGAAATGAAATAATCTCCATATTTGCTTCCATTTGTGTATAAATATTTTTTAAGCATGTATGCATCCTAGCGTATGGAAAGAAAATTTCTGGGAAGAATTACAAGAATCTGCAGCAGTTGAGAGTATATTCACTTTTCGTTTTATTGTGTAATTTATTGTATTTTTCATTTAATTGTACTTTGTAAACTATTTTGTTGTATATTTGATTCAATTTTTAACTACCATATGCAGCTTTACTTGTGTAACTGAATTACGTTCTGACTCAGGGCAGGAGGAGGGAGAAGAGGATGAGAGAAGGGCGGAATCCTGAAGACTTGGGTATTCTGTGCTCAGCCCTTGGGGTCCAGGATTCCTGGAGAGCCCAGCGCAGCTCCCCGAACCCGCCCGGCCCGGCCACCTGGCGGCGACGCGAGACCCGCGGGGCGGGGGCGGGGGCGGGAACGGGGGAGGCGGGGCGCGGCGGGGCGGGGCGGGGCCGGGGGCGGGGGCGAGCCGGGGCGAGCCCCGCCCAGCCGCGCACACGGGGTTGCCGTGGCAGCCGCGCCCTGCGTGGCGGAAGCTCACAATCAGCCAGTCCCGGCGGCTCCCACCCCGCCCCCTGCGCTCACCTGCCCTCGCGCTGGTCCTCCGCGGACCCCGGGCCCGCAGACACACGCACCTGGCCCTGCTGCCCCGCGCGCCATCTTGCCTGCTCTGCCTGGGCGCCTCCACCGGTCTCCGGGAGCCCACAGTCGCGAGCCGCGCCGAGCGTCAGAGTACAAGAGCAGGAGCCGCCCGGGTCGCCCCCCGCAGGCCCAGGCGCATAGATGCCCAGAGATGCGTGACTCCTGATCGCCCTGACGCCTAAGAGGTGAGCGTGGCGCCTGGCCTTTCCTTTGTCTCTACCTGTTCCACTCCTCTCTTCGGATTTTTCTGGAGAGTATAAAGTGGAAAGCACAGTAGAGAACCCCCCCCCCAAATGTAAACTCTCGGTCACACCGCGGGTGAGCTGAAACCCACAAAAGTTTGATGTTCCTAAGGAGCCTATATTGAGGGACTTTGCTAAATACTTTACAAGAATTACCTCATTTCCTTTTCACATAGACCCAGGAAGTGGGCACCGTTGCTATTCCCACTTCACAGATGCAGAAACTGAGGTACAAACTTAGGTAGGTAGCCTGTCCATATTTATCCAGCTAGTTTGTGTAAATAATAAATAATGATACAGGGAAGAGAGGATCACAGCAGATTTCCCCACCTCAAACCCCACACTTTCACCACTGTACCAAGCTTGTCTTCCTCCATTCCTCTCTAATCGTCCTCCCTTGTCGCACAGCCCCCTTTGAACACACACACATTCCCACAGATTTTCATGTAATTTCAGAGTATTCGGACCCTGAACATGGACCTCAAGTCAAGACATTCTGCTCTATTCCACTCCCCTTTGAGATTGTCATTGTAGATGGTTAGATGTGTGTAAGGTGCCCCAGGGTCATGCTGGGGAAAAGGGCAGGTGTGCTTCTATGTGGAGGCCCTCCAGAGGATCCTATGTGCTGCTCAGTTTACAAGGAACCCAGGACCCGAGAGTGACACTTGTGTGATTTCCTGCAGTGGGGTGAGCTCTTGGTCAGTCTTTGCAGTTGATTATAAAGGACACTACATAGGGTGCTACGCTCTCCCCAGCAATTGGGGGAGGCAGTCCACAGGAAACTGGCCCTTGGACTGCTGAATTCATCATCGTAGGTGCCAGTTAATTCTCTACTAGGGATGGATGCTAACAGAGGGAACACTGAAGTCCCTGATTAGGAAGTTCCTGATGACACCAATCAGGTGGCATTAATTCAGTGCAGTCATTACCTATGTAAGAGCATCTTGCCCTCTTCCACAGATGACACATGTACAAATGCAGTATGGTGACGCTGCACCTAATCCGAATATGGCTGATAATAAGAAAACAAGCCGTAAATAGCAGCTAAGGTGAATGTCACCAAGCTATGCAGCAAAGGCCAAGTGGATGACTGAGGCAGCCTCAGCTGTTGATTCTAACAAGCTGTGTTACTGGTTCCCTAGTCCAGCAAAGGTTATAAGCAGATTAAAGGCAAAAGAGGCTGGGTGCAGTGGCTCACACCTGTAATCCCAGCACAGCATTTAGGGAGGCTGAGGTGAGTAGATCACCTGAGATCAGGAGTTCGAGAGCAGCCTAGCCAACATGGTGAAACTCTGTCTCTACTAAAAATACAAAAAATTAGCTGGGTGTGGTGTTGGGCACCCATAATCCCAGCTATTCAGGAGGCTGAGTCGGGAGAATTGCTTGAACCCAGGAGGTGGAGGTTGCCAAGATCATGCCACTGCACTACAGCCTGGGCAACAGAGGGAAATTCCATCTCAAAAAAAAAAAAATGCAAAAGAGGGGCTCCAGCAAACAGGATATTGAAGCCACAAGCCATATGATGGCTGATGTCCCAGCAGTAAAGAAGGAAGCACAAAGAAAAGGCAGGCAGAAGAGTAGGAGAAAGAATGAGACAACAGCATGCATTTGATATTGGTGGTCTCTCTCCTTGACTTCTTGTCTCGGCTTGTTCTGCAACCACCAAAATCGTCATAATTCCCCATACACCAGGCCTAGATCGCTCCTGACCTCCTGAAATACGTACCTTATTGCCTTGTAGGTTTTAACTCCGAATGGCCAAAGATTAATGATCTACACTACCCACCCAGTCTGGACCTCATCCTAAGTGCCCCATCTCAGAAACAGGTATCTAGTTGTTCAAGCCAGAAAGTTAGGAGTTTTCCTTTATTCCTTTCCCTCAATTCTGTTAACTTTCAGTCATTTTTTGAGCAAACTTTTACTTAATGCCTTATGTGTCAGCTTCTAGGTGATAGGGAAACAATGGCAATTATAATATAAAGCTTCTGTTCCATAAAGATTATATTCTAGTGGAGGACACACACAATGCAGAAATTAAACATCTCTCTATCTGTACAAACTGGTTTTAGACAGTAAGTGCTTTAGAGAAAATCAAGAGGAAAAGGTAGCATGTGGTTGGAATTGGAATGGTGAGAAACACCAATCAGTGTAAACTCTGAATGAATAGCTCTCCAGGCAGAAGAAAGAAGTACAAACTTCCAGAAGCAGGAAGGAGCTTTTATTCATAAACAAAAGGCCAGTGTGGCTGGAGATGACTAAGTCAGGAGAGACTGGGGTGAAGAGAGGTAGGGAAAGTGTCTTTAAGAGATTGTAGTGAGCAATTTGGATTTATTCATTTTACAATGGAGAGCTATTGAAATGTTTTTAAACGATAACTTGGAGAGAACTTTCTAGCATGAAGGAAATATTCTATATCCTAATAGGGGTTTGGATTACACAAGTGTATATACATTTGTCAAAACTCACAACTACATGCATTTGTACATCTAATACTTGTATGTTTCATTGTGTATTCAAAAGACAAGAAAAAAAAAGAAATGTAAAATAAATATTTGAACTCCAGTTAAGGATATATGTGTTAGAATATGCCTGCAATTTACTTTGAAACAGATTAAAAGATAAGGTGGATTAGTGGATAGAGATAAAGATGGGATAAAGCAAGGAAACCATTAATGGTAGAATTTTAGTGGTATATATATGGGTGTTAAACACACACTTTCTGTTTAAAACTACACTAAAATGTTAGGGACTGTAAGCTTGTCTGATTTTATCTGAACTACATGTTTAAAAGATTTTTCTGGCAAATGTCTAGAAAATAACTAGAGGGGGCTGTTGTGGAAGCAGTGAGGTGAATGATTTGGCTTAGGAAAGTAGCCTGGGGATGGTCAGGATACATGCTGGAGGTAAAGTTGACAGCAATGGCTGCCGAATGTGAAGAGTGAGGGGATCTGTAGGGGAAAGAAAGAATGAAGGTTAAATCCTAGTGTTTTAATCTGAGTGGGTAGATGGATGGTGATGCCATTATCAGAAATGGGGAGAAATGGAGATCAGATGATATGAACAGCCGTGCTTTGACCATGTTGCATTTCAGATGCCTATTAAACATCCAAGGGAGAAAGAAGAGTAGGCTGGTGGATATATGTTTGAGCCTTGGGGAGAATCAGAGACGGCTTTGTGAATTTGAGAGTGAGCAATCAGAAGGTGAAAATTGGGCTGAGGGTCGAGGGTCATGAGAGAGGGCGAGATGCCAGGGGAGTGTGTGAGGACAGAAAAGGATCTTGAGGACCTAGCCCTGGCCACCCAACAATTAGGCTTCTTGAAACGGGGAGTCAGCAAAAGAGGCTGAGAAGGAGTGGGCAGTGGTATTGGATGGAAGCAGGCAATGAGGCAATGGAGATGTTATGGTTCCTAGAGAGACACAATTTAAAGGAGAGAGAGCTCACTGCCATAGAGAATGTAGGTGGGGGAGCAGGCTTGTGGTAGAGAAAAATGGTGCATAGTTTCAGCTTTTGTAGTAAGATGGAATCTTTTCGGTGCAAATGTTGGAAACCCAGCTGACTAGCTTATGCCAAAATAAGGTGACAGGGAGAGGATATATTTACTCATGCCATCCTGAACATAATGGCTTGTGGCACCATGGAATCCATGTTGCAATTAATGCCGTCAGTCTTAGTCTCTCTCCATCTTCCAAGAATGGACTCTTTCTGTGTCAGCCAGGAGAACTACCTGTAGCCCCAGCCTCACACCATACTATTGAATAATTTCAGCAGAATGTCTTCCCTGATAGTTCTGGAAAATGGGCTGCTAATTGGTTGATGTCTTTTATGCACATATGGTTGAGCTTCAGAGTACCTGGAGAGGGATGATTCCTTCAAAAAGGCCAGGCCTAGGTTACAGACACATTCCTCTGGTAGGGGACAGAAGGGACATCCCCATCCAAACAAAAGGGATAGGATTCCCTGTGTGATAATAGAATTCTTTTCTCATAAGAAATGAAGAAAGAAAAACAACTGGGCATACCTAGCATGGCCTGCTATTCAATCCAAAAGATTATTTTTCCGTAAAAAGAAGGAAAATTACATACTAGAATGCCCATCACAATTTAACAGGGGGATTGTTTATGGAGATTTACAATTGCCTTGCAGCCATTTAACTACATCTTTCCCACTTAAGATGACATAGAAATTACTCATCACATCTTTGATATGTTACAGAACCCAGTAGATTTCTTTTTACAATGAACAACTCAAAATTACATGTTTTTATAACACCTGAAGACTATTAAAACCTGTATGATCTCTATATTGTGCTGATATGAAACCATGTAGATAGATGGGAACCTAAACCCTTGCCGTGGCAATTTAGTTAACCTCAGCTTCTTCATGGTAAAATGGGAAACTGTGGTGAGGAGGAAGGGTTAAATGAGATGATAAGAAAACCACCTGGCAAACTATTTATCATTATAATGGAAGATTTGTTTTGAACTGTTTTAACTTTATGCCTACTCAATATTTTTTGTATTTATGTGCATATCCTGCTTTCTGAACATTTTATAAAAAACAATCTCTGTTCTTAAGGAAATGCCAAGATACTGTTATTTAATCAAAACGAAGATGATAACATTAACTTTGATTATTTTTCTTTTTTGTTACTTCAGTTTTAGTTTTGGTCCAGAAAGCATTTTCAAGGAGCTGGTCAGGCATGGCTTTAGCAGATAAGAGACTTGAGAACTTACAGATCTACAAAGTTCTTCAATGTGTGCGGAACAAAGACAAGAAGCAGATAGAGAAGCTGACCAAGCTTGGATACCCTGAACTAATCAATTTTACAGACCCCATTGATGGACTTAGTGCTTTGCACTTAGCCTCAGTTTCCAACGATATTGATATGGTCAGCTTTCTCCTTGACCTTGGTGCTCACCCTGATGTGCAAGACCGAATGGGCTGTACTCCCACCATGAGGGCTGCAGAACTGGGCCATGAATTGTCGATGGAAATACTGGCAAAGGCAAAGGCTGATATGACTATAGTTGACAACGAAGGAAAAGGTAAAAAATCCCAACATCCTCTGCAGCAGTTTGCAATTCACTTTGTAGCCAGAAATGAATAACATGGACTTTTTTTGTTTTCCAGCTTTAGAAGTGAATTACTTATGGTTTTAAGTGAAAGGCTAAATTCTCACTACTATACTTAAACCTAACTGCCTCCTCATGATTTGAAAATGAGATTGCTGTATCATAGGGAAATCAGTTATTAGAGCTTACTCATATAATTAGATTAATTTGTGTTTGGTGATTTCTTTTAAATGTGGAGAATTTTGAACATTATATACACTGATCATTCATTATAAAATATAAGCTCTTGTTTAAAATATAAAATATTTTAATTGTATAAAAATATAAGCTCTTTTTTTTTTTTTTTGTTACATTTTGGAATCTCAGGCATTACTACGCCTAGGACTCCAAAAAGATTTTGATCCCCTCAGTAGCACTCTGATGTAGGAAGGACTTGTACCTGGAAAATGGAAAGGATTAAAGTCAATTCTGGCATAAGCTCCAACTTTCTAGGATTGTCTAAAAATGTATTTGGAAATACAACTTCAAACTTTAGACATGACCTTTCAGCAGTTATTCAGATGAAAGAACTGCACTTCCACACCTGTAATCCCATGATCTCAAGACCATGGTCTGAGAACTTCTTGCCCAAATAACTTGAGGTTCAGGCAAAAATTGACACAGCCTCATAAAAATAACTGAGATAATTACCAATAAACTTAATGTAAACTGGTTAGCTTAAGCAGTTGTCCTGAGTCGCTGCAGATGCAAAGCCATTAACATCAGCCCAGCATTGGAGAAATGAATCTCATTTTATAATGTTAATCTTTACTGACAAGAGCAAAATCTTTCTAACTCTCCCCAGACTTGGTGTTTGATAGGATTACTTGCTTAAAACAAAAGAGGACAAAGAAAAGGGATAATTACATATTTCAGAGTACCACATAACAAACTTCACATGCATTCAGAGGCCAAATGTGTTTTGAAATTGTAAATCCTGAAAAAACAGTAGCCTCTCAAAGCTCTATGGAATACTATTCCCCAAAGTGTACTCCATGGACCACTGAATTGCCAGGATGTTGAGAAGCACTACATGCGGAATTGGTTTCACCATCACATTCATTAGAGAAACATTTTAGGCATGTATCTTTCACATTGTTGGCTCAAAAATGGTGATATTTTCCTTATTTATTTGACCATAAAATAGTTTTTTGATGGCATTTTATATGCCTGAAGTTTTGTGGACAAACTTTTGCGAAACACTATAATAGAGAAAAGTTTAACTTACTGAGTTTGAAACAGAGATAAATCACAGAGAAAGACAGAAATTCTATAGCATAAAAATGTAAAAATGTAAAATTTTTTTAAAGAAGATAAAATTGGAAACAAGGTCAAGTAAATACTTGCAGCAAATGTAACAGGCATTTGGCTAGAGGAAACAAATCTCATAGGCAGAACTGCAACCGTGCTAGGAAACAAATGTAAAATCTTGTTTCACATGTAAGCTTGTTAGGGTAGCTGCCGACAGCCTTCACTCTGCATAACCCAAGGTGCTGCCCATTGTACAGTGTACCTTGTCTCTTCTCCACATCAATGAGCCTCACTCACCTTGCGCATCCCTGTTTGGCTGCCACTGGCCAAACTGCTTTGCTTATTCCACAGTACACTCTCTGCCACTGACATCCTGTTTTCTGGTGACTAATCTTTGACTCACTGTACATCGTTTCTAAAGGATAAGCAAACATTTAAATGGCTAAGTGGGTCTTTAGGATGTGAGACATGACCTAGACTTAAGGTGCACTTTCTCTTTGAACAATTTTACAGAATGTGGAGAAGGTAAAGCTCTAAGCCAATACATTCTTTCTTGTATATTGTCCTAGGGAATTAATTACAGTGTAGAATTATTCTCCTTAAAAGGTAAGCTATCGTAGTTCCTTATAGCACCTATTCCCATTTTATTAGTTTTCCTATTTTTAGGAATGTGTACTAAGTCCTCAATGCAGTATGCCAGTTCTATGATAAGGTACGATATTTTTCAATCTGGTTTTTCCTTCAGTTGAGGAATGTTGATTCGTGTTCTTTGTGGCTTAAAGAGTCAGCCCAGATAGAATTTAACTGTGTGCTGCACGTGCCATCATTATGAAATAGTCATTTCATAAGTGGCTCTGGACCTTTTGTAATGAATTCAGCCTCCTTGGTTATCGTGCTTAGGTTGTTTTGTTGTGGTTTCATTGTTGCTGTTGGTCTGTTCTTGCCTCCTATGTCTTTCTCTGTCTTTGACTTTCTCTTTTCAGTAATATCCTTGAATCTTTTTTTTTTAAACTGTTCTGAGTAACACTATTTTAGGTTTATCAGTTTATATAAAATATTATTTAGGTTTTGATTTTCATATACATTTTATTTTTTATTTTAATGGTAGAATTTATGCAATTTATAGTTATCTAGATTTCCCATAGGTTTGGCTTCAGAAATGTCATTTATTTTATATTGTGCATAATATATCTAATACATAAAATATATGTGAAATTATTGTCATATATGGTCCATATATTTGTTTTATTTTGCTGTATATGTGTATTTTTCTTTATATGTTTACAAGTATATTTTCTAAAATTGATGGGATGTTTTTTGTTCTTTTAATGGTTAACCTGATACTTCGTATACCCTTAAACCTATTTATTGAGTTAGCATCTTAAACAGTATTCACTGATTCTTTACTCTGATTACTAATATTAATACAGTAGTACAAATTAGATTAGTACAATAACCCTTCCTCTTACCTCTGCTACTTCCCTTCTACCATCCAATTTTATAGTTAATTATAATTACTTAGTTCTTTCAATGATTCACTGTATACTTTAAAATGATAAGTACCTGTCTTTTATCTCCTTACCTGCTTTAAATAATATCTGTCTTCAACCCCCAAAAATGAGAACATCAAATGCTTATACTATTTCTTCTTCCCTCCCTTCTCTCCAAATTTTTGTTAAATTACATTATTTTTACATTATTATGAATTGCAATATTCTTTTCTCTATCTAAAATTACTAAGGTGACTTAGCTTTGGTTCTATGGCTAAAGAGATTCAGTATTTATCACTTTTTTTAGTCACATATTCCCTATTGGTCTCTGGAAGACTCACTTTTGCAATCAAGTAGTTTAACTCACTTCTTTGGGTTTATATCCCTGATTTCTTACATCCTTAAGATTATATGTGTCTGTTGCTTTTATATACGAACAAAGTCTTGACTGGGTATAAAAGTTCCCTATTTTTACTCCAAGTATAGTGTAGAGATCCTTTAATTATACTGTAGTATTGAATGTTGTTGTGATAAATTTTTGAGGGCAGCTTGAGTATTCCTCTTTATAGATTAGTTGAATTTTTGCCTGGATTCTCACAAGTCACTTTCTTTGCCTAGCTTTACCCAAGCATGCCTTGTTGACTATTCTTAATCAACTTTTCCTAAGACCCAACGTGCCTTTTTAATCTTAAGATTCAGGTCTATCTTTGCACTTTTATTTTAGAACAAGTTATATTTAGTTTCTTTGCTATCATGGAAATGAATCAGCCAATAATTTTCACTGGGATAGCTTCTAGTGTGTATCTTTTTTGCTTGGCTTTCATTATGTTTCCTGTTTTCCTTGCAGTTTTTTTTTTTAATAGTTTGCATACTGGTTTCTCTTTTGGTTATTCTTTAAATGAAGCCCCCTTTTGGAATGAGCTCATTACAAAGTCAGTTTGGAATCTGATTGCTGTTTACCTAGATTTCTCTTAGCAACACTCTGCCCTGGGTTTGTAACAGTAACCCTGATATGTAGTATGCTTTTGACATGGATTATATGGATGGCCTGTATGTTACAGGTCCTGGATGAAGGCATTTAGCATTTTGCTTTCTCCAGTGGAACAAAATGATTTGCCAAATGGCAGAGACACTTGCCATCTAATTTTTCATCTCTTTACTGCTATACCGACAGCCTGCTTCTTAACACATGACCAGTCTACACACATTTCATCACCCAGTACCATCTTTTTTGTGATTCTGCAGTTTTAGAGGGGACCTGGGGACTTGCCAGTAGCTCTTTAGCACACATACCCCTGTGCATTCCAGCAAGGGACACTCAGGGTACATATTCAAGGTGCAAAATACTCAGAGTCAACAGGGTTCACCTATCAACACTCCATTTCTTTCATAAGCCAGGTCCTATCACATGTGGCTGGGACTATTTTCTAAGTATGTCAGAAATTAAGGATGTTAGTTTTTTGTTTTCTGTCTTGGTGTTTTAGTTGGTTTCAGAGAGGAAACCAAGGCAGATATGCCTTTAACTAGCTAAATATGGATTTTTAATATTTCTACTTTCCTTTCTGTCAAATATGTATAGATTGTTAATTAAATGCTCTCTGGGGATTTTATTTCTCTGCAGGCGTTTTGTTTTACTGCATTTTACCTACTAAACGGCATTATCGCTGTGCTCTGATTGCCCTTGAACATGGTGCAGATTTCAACAATTCTACCTATGAAGGAAAGCCAATATTCCTTAGAGCTTGTGAAGAAGCACATGATGTTAAAGATGTATGCCTGACACTTTTGGAAAAAGGAGCCAATCCCAATGCAATCAATTCAGTATGGCTATTCTTGTGAATACAAATATTTCTTGTTTCAATTACTGCATAGTATATAATCTTTGCATTTAAATATGATGACATAATCCTATTAGCTTATAGACTGTTCATTTTGATTCAAAATGCTTAAAGATGGTGTACCTTTATTATCTTCATATTGCTATGATTCTGTAGTGTTTCCTAATTATGTTTGGAAACTTGGTATTTATTATGCATAATGTCAAAGTATCATTATAGGGAATAGTAAATAAGGCATTGCTGATACCTAATAGGATATATCTTTTTGGAAAGAAAATATATATAGTTAGTTCTGCTGTTCCTTTTTTTTTTTTTTTTTTTGGAAACAGGGTCTCACTCCATTGCCCGGCTGGAATGCAGTGGTCCAATCTTGGCTCACTGAAATCTCTGCCTCCCCAGTTCAAGCAATTCTCCTGCCTCAGCCTCCTGAGTAGCTGGGATTACAAGTGCATGCCACCACTCCCCACTAATTTTTTTTTTTTTTTTTTTTTAAGTAGAGATACAGTTTCACCATATTAGCCAGGCAGATTTCAAACTCCTGGCCTCAAGTAATCCACTGCCTCAGCCTTCCAAAGTGATGGGATTATAGGCATGCCCAGCCTACTTCTGCTGTTTCTTACATCAATTTTGTTCACTCTCCTTATTTGGCTAATTTTATTATGTTTTCTTTTAATTTCCCTTTCTTGACACTAAAAATAGATTTTCTTCTCATTAGAAAACACCTGTGACCTAATTTTATATTAGGTATTCATATTTTATCTCTTTTTTCCCCTTTTTGTTCTACTTTATTTGCAAGAAATACATTTTTAGTATGATATTCCCACAGGGGCATGCAGTGTGACCTTGACTCTGATTTTAGAATTCTGTATTTTAGGTATTGACCCATTGTACTTGGTTAATTTTTCCTCTTTGTAATAAGATAGATGTAGAGAACTAAACTTGTAAGTGTAAAGCTAAGGTTAAATGGATTCTGACGGTATTTGTACTGATTCTGCTACTTAATATGATGGCTATAAACAGCATCTCATCTGTTTAATGTCCAGTCCACAGGCCGCACGGCTTTAATGGAAGCATCAAGAGAAGGGGTAGTGGAAATAGTTCGAGGCATATTGGAAAGAGGAGGTGAAGTGAATACATTTGACAATGAGAGGCATCACGCTGCTCATTTTGCTGCTAAAGGAGGCTTTTTCGATGTAATAATCAATTCCTTGCTTTAAAATTTGTTGCTAAAACTTTTCTGTCCCTTGTCTCAAAATGTTTATATGTCATATAGATTACACTAAGGCAGACTTTTTTTCTGAGTTGTCTATGTTGCTGTCATCTTGATTTCCCTAAATTACTCTAAAATTATATCTTTTAAAACTTTATCTCTTTATTTAGTTTTATGTGTTTTCAAATTTACTTATTTAATATTGTTAATATTTTTGCTGTGCACTTGATGATAATAATTTAAAATTCCTGCCACCTGGGACTACTGTATTTTGTGCCTTCAATACATACTAGGATCTTCAAAATATGATATGATCTAATTATGGGAGAACAGTGCCCTCATACTCTTATGTCCATGATGCTTGTGTGCATTAGATAATGATATACCTGAATGTTAAACTCAAGTATTCTGATTACCTAAATGTACAGCAAAGAATATCTCTTGATATAGTAACGTTGCAGAAACAAAATAGGAATTAGTACTATTTTTTTAATTCTGAATTTCATCTGAAATTTCTTTACTTAATTTTCTTTGAGTTTCAACATAGTTATCTTCATTTATATCACTATTTTCCCAGCAGTAAAAGTGTACGCAAAAATAGAAAACACATTTGGTAAAGAATTTCCCCCTGGATGCTGTTTTTCATTGCTCTCATGCTTTCTTAAATTACCTACACTAACAAAAATGGTAGTGCCGCGTCTAAGTATAGAGTTTTCTCTGCTCTAGATCAATGCTATTTAATAGAAATTTTGGTGATGATGGACATATTCTGTATTTGTGCTATACAGCACAGTGCAACACAGTGTCCATGCGGCTTTTGAGTACTTTAAATGTGGCTAGTGAAAAAAATGAATGAAACTTAAATATTTTCAATTTAGTTCATTTCAATTTGAATGTTCAATGGTCATGCCTGTCTAACTGATAATATACTGGATCACGCAGGTCTAGTTGCCAGTATTTATGTAATAAATGTACATTTCTATTCCTTCACAATATCCGCTATTTATTTTACAGATACTGAAGCTTCTTTTTGCCTACAATGGAGACATGGGACTGATTTCGTTAAATGGGAACACACCACTTCATTATGCTGCCATGGGTGGTTTTGCAGATTGCTGTAAATATATAGCTCAGCGAGGTAAAATTGTCTAGCAATTTTGTGCTTAAAGTATTTATGATTTACTCATGTCATAGACTAGCAGAGACTTTGGGCCTATCACTTGTCAGTGGCTTATTTTTTCTATAGCATAATTTCACCCATATGTAGAAAGAAAATTGAAAATTATTTCTTATACTACCCCTCTGTTAAATCATGAATCTGATCTTAAAAGTGATGAATGCCCATTTCTCCAAAATGTTTAGGTTATTGTTAAAACCTGAAGGGGATTGTTCCTGAGCCAACTAATTATTAAAATACTTACGGTTGAGGGCAGGTTGTGGTGGCTCATGCCTGTAATCCCAGCACTTTGGGAGGCTGAGGCAGGCGGATCACTTGAGATCAGGAGTTCAAGACCAGCTTAACCAACATGACATAACCTCACGTCTACTAACAGTGCAAAAAAAATTTTGCTGGGTATGGTGATGGCACCTATAGTCCCAGTTACTTGGGGGACTGAGGCATGAGAATCACATGAACCTGGGAGGCAGAGGTTGCAGTGAGCCAAGATTGTACCACTGCACTCCAGCCTAGTGGACAGAGTGAGACTGTGTCAAAACAAAAACAAAAACAAAAAAAAAAACCTGATTAAATTCCTTATTTTAAAAATGCCAGCATCAATCTAAAAAAGGACATACACTGAAAACCATTTGCTTTCATCTGAATTTTTAATTATTTTATTTTAAAAAATATTCCATTATATCAAATACAAAGATAACTTTTCTGGATAATTTGCAGTTGTGGGGAAAATAATTTGAGGGAAAACATGAAATGAATACTTTCATGGAAAATTTGAAACATAAGCAAAATTTTTAATTTTTTATTTTCCTGTAGCTTTTAAGTATTAATTTAGAAATATGAACGATATCATAAATAGCTTAATGAGTTTCTTAAAATGAAAATATTAATTATATTTAAGGATATGAATTAACTTTTTGTTAATTACATGCTAATTAAATGCACATTAAAAGCTTTTTAACTGTTATCAATAGAACTGCATTTTGCAGAACTGTAGATATTTTTTCGAGTTTATGAGAAATAGGCAAAAACTTAAAGTCTAACAAGTCTATAATAGAGCAAAGAAAGTGTTTTATTTTTCTGTCTTCCACATAGACACAAAATTTTAGAAGTCACTAAAATTGTAAGACTAACATGCCCATATTAACTATAATCGCATAAGAACAGATCCATTTTTACTTTTATAAATGTATACTTTCCTTATGCCCCCAATATAATAAACCCTTTTGCAAATGAGAAAAAAATATATCAAATGCAGTTTTGGTTCTTTCAAACAGTCTTATTGGTTTTGTTTTCAAATCTGTCACTATTAGCAGTTTATTTTGGCATTTCAGTTAACATTGTGTGTTTCTAAAAACTAAAGATCCACCCATGTTGAGACAAGCTTCTCTAACTTCAATATATTGACTTATTTCTTATTGGGACAAATGTCACACGTACTCTATCATTTACGTATTCCTGGAATAACGTCACGGAAAGCACATTGAGAAGCCAAGAACCAGAGCCTGGGTCATGCAAAAAGGCCTAACTCAATGATGCAGAAAAGATCCACTTTCCTAGAAGAATAAACCATGAGGCTATTTTAAAGCAAATGTTTGAAAATGTTCTGCGTTATCTGCATGTTTGGAAATATAAACACGTCACCCGATCCTATGTGGGTGACCCAGTTTCACAGCAGAAGTGTTGTCAGTTACATTTCCACCTTTAGAATCTTACATCTAAGGCAGTCAGAGCAGCAAGAAACCCTTGGCGATAAAGTGCATGTTTCTGAATAAGCTCCCTGGGTTTAGTCTCTTCTGTACCTAATTGTAAACCACTTGTGCTGGCTGGATTCATTTCTCACATTTCCTCATGATGGTCCTCTTTTGGCCCCTCGTCCTCCAGCTGGAGAATTTTATGACTCCCCCTGTAAGCACGTGAGAGCCACATCCAAGGGCAGAGAAAGGGATCTTGGGGATTCCTCCTCCTCTTCCTGGGCCCTCAACTCCCTGAGTTCTGCAGCACCAGCGAGCTGGAAGTTGAACATCTTTACCACAGAGGAACATCATTCTCACAGAGAATGAATGGATCTTTATTTGCTAATCATAAAGGACAAGACAGGAAGCTGTAAGTCAGAAGGACAGGAAAACTGCCTTTAGCTCCTTAAACTGGGATGTTGGAGTCTTCTTTTGTACACAGGGAGGTTTCTAACCAGGAGGAAGCTGGAAGCTGCAGAGGATGAGGTAAAGCAGGATGAAAATCCTTTGGTCCTTAGTGCTGGGTGAACACAGAAGTGGCTTGAGAAGTGGGAGCAAAAACCCCCAGACACCCTGAATAAGAAAAATAAATAGCTAAGTAAAAACAGCATATCAGAATTACTATGGAATTGCACTGTGGAATTACTGTGCTATGGAGTTACACTATCAAGTCACTGTTCTTATAACTGTCCAATAGAGAAAATTTGGAATATTTATTGTCTCAATAGCCTTTTTTTAGTTTTTCTATTACTAGTAAAATTATCAGCCTTAGTATAAAAAGTGTGTGTGTATGTGTGTGTAGTAAAATAGATTTTTTGTTTTTTAATTTTTTGTGTGAATAGTATATATATTTGTGGAGTATGTTAAATGTTTTGATATGGGCATACAATGCTTAATAATCACATCCTGGAGACTGGACTATCAGTCCCTGCAAGCATGTATTCTTTGTGTTACAAACAATCCAATTACACTCTTTTTGCTATTTAAAAATGAATAATTATTATTGATTATAATAATATAAATTGTTTTGCTATCAGATAGTAGGTCTTATTCATTCTTGCCTTTTTTTACCTATAGTTTAAAATTTTAATTTTTGACAATACCAAGGAAAGTATGAATCCTGAAAAACATAGTCTGACTACTTCTTCAAAGCCTTACACATACAACGGATTTTTAATATCTCAAAACACTTATTATAGACAACACAGCCTTTTTGGTAGCACTAAATGGATTCCCTAAAGTGTTCAAAAAAGGTTATTTCTTTGGTGAATATTTACAAATATTGTTGGTCTCATCATTTTGTTAAATAAGGGACCAAAAAAGAAAATGAATTGTAATGTCTAACATGCACATACATAAATATAATGCTGAACTCCTCAGATTGAATTACAAATTACATTTTCCTCTGTGAAGGTTGTTCACATGGCCATACCACAAAACAGCAGATTAGTATAAATTATATTATTTAATGAAGAGTATAGAAAAAATAGACTTTATGTTTGTACACAGATTTACAGTCTAAATCATTCAGAAGCACATGAGTATTCTTCTGCTTTTCAGATCTGAGTTCATAAGGTCCTAGGTAAGCTGTTTGAATCCAGCTTCTTTCCAAATTCAAATGCATCCTTGATCTTTTCCTATTGGCCTGAAGTCCCCTGAGCAAGTGTACCAATATGGTATATGTTTCAAATATCTCTAAGGATAAATGTTCTAATCCTACTATAAATTCTTAACTTCAGAATTCACCAAAGTGGTGCTCACAGAAAAAAATCACAGCTGAATTTTGTAATTATGAAAGCAAAATGTATGCATCTTTATAGACACATAATTTGGGGACACATTTTTTACGAATCACAAGAAATTAAGAAAACAGTTGGATAAATGTCACTTATTAGCCATGCAGATGCCTTGGCACCATTCATAATTATGATGCTTTATGTTTTAGGATGTGACCTGAAATGGAAGAATTTAGATCATAAAACGCCCAGGGCTGTGGCTAAGGAAGGTGGCTTCAAAGCAGCAAGCAAAGAAATACGCCGAGCAGAGAGAATTGCTAATAAACTAGCCAGGCCAGGAGCCAAAAATCCAAATCCACTCTGGGCCCTTAGACTGCATGATTGGTCTGTAGAACGTGAGGCTTTCCTCCGGGAAGCCTTTTCTGCTGTTGACAAGGGCGATGGGAGCGTCAGCAAGAATGACTTCGTGATGGTGTTGGAGGAAAGGCAAGATTATGCAAGCTCAGAACAGCTGGCTGCCATTGCCCAACTTCACGAGAAAATCCGGGGAGGAGGAGTCAATATTAATGAATTCTTTAAAGGAACCGGATATTTAAGCAAGGCTTTTGTTTTAGGATCCTATGGACCTAAGAAAAAGAAAAAAGGGATGGGCAAAAAAGGAAAGAAAGGTAAATTTGTCTTACCCCTTCCAATCTGTGTCATTCCTGACAACGCATTTCCACGCCGGCAAGATGGTGGGCCACCATATTACATGATTGAGACCTACAAGAATGTCACTGATAGCAGCCGGTTTAACAGGGATCATCCCCCAGAACATCCCATTCAGGATGACTCTGCTTGGTACATTGATGATTCAGAGAAGGCATTTTCAAACATTAATATTATCACCAAGGCAGGGGATCTGGCTTCTCTGAAAAAGGCCTTTGAATCAGGAATACCTGTGGATATGAAGGATAATTATTACAAAACTCCACTAATGACGGCGTGTGCAAGTGGAAACATAGATGTGGTCAAGTTTCTTCTTGAAAAAGGGTATGCATCTCAGTAGAGAGAGGTTTAAATTTTCATGAGTCTTCACATTTCAAGGAAGTAAAAGGAAGACATTAAGAAACGTTTAGTTCCAGAATTTTTGTAACATAGAAAAGTGCTACTTTATTAAAGTCTATAATGAATTAAGGCTTTAATATATAAAAGCCTTTTATTAAGGCTATAATAATTAACTTATAGGCTTCATTAAAGAATGCTATTAATGCTTTGTTAAAAGTGCTGATATATTATAGGCTTTAAAGTCAATAAAATGCCCTATAAAAGGTATCATATTATTGATGGTCAGGGTTAGAAAAGGAGAATTTATGTTAGATTCTAAGCCCCTTTGTTAAAGCCTGTAATAAATTAATTAGGCCTATAGATCTTATATGGGAAACCAGGATAATGGGAGCATAGGATTGTGTGTACACAAGGATATTTTGCCAATTATGCACAAAGTGAAAGCCAGTGTTTACTCAGGGTTAATGGAGTCTTCTGATTACTACCGGCCTTTTGTCAATGGCAGCACAGCTCAGTCCTGTCTTAAAGCTTCACCTAGATGTGAAGTCACTTTTTAATCTGCCTCTATTTTGGGTATCTCAACAACTTCAAACAAGTGGAATGGTGGCTATAATAACATGTTTTGGTCCTAAAACTTGCTGCCTTCCTCCAGAATGGGGCAGTCTTTTCTCTTGTCATGTAAATATGTTTAAACTATCAATACATGACATATTTATAATACTTAATTTCTTAGACTACAACAATCACTCAGGTTTAATTCCTTCTTCTTCCATGGTTGTATTACCTGGGGTGAGTTTCTTAACATTTTTGTGCCTCAGTTTTCTCATGTATTTACATAATGAGACTGTAGTGGGATTCATGCCACAAGATTAGTTAAAGATTAGATGAGTTAAAATATGCAAAGCACTTACTAACACAGTAATTGCATACTTCAGAAATAAAGTATTAATCTTACTAGTACTTTAATGTTAAAGAAAGACTCAAATTTGTATATTATCAAGAGAGCAACTAATGAGAATATGAACTTCTGGACAGTGAATTTCTAAACAGGACTAAAGTTTTAAATAATACATGGTAATATTTAGAATTTTAACAATGAAGTTTCATTTAAAAATGTATTACGTGAAGAGAAAGTAGACACAAAATGGAGCAATATAACTTTTATATGTCCTGTCAGCTTTTATCTTCCTTGGATCTAGTTTATAATTTTCCTTGATTTTAACCTTTGCAAAATTGTAATCCCTAGAATCTAAAGTGCCTTTTAATGTAGATATACACAAAGGAAGTTAAGACTCTCAAATAATACAGAGCAAAGAGGTTTGAAGAAAAATTATGGCACAGAGTTTACAGTTTAACAACTTGATAGAACTCTATGAAATCTTACTTTGCCTTTTCAGTGTCCAGTCCTTGGAACAACCAGTATTTTTAGTTTGTGCATCTATCTTATTTTATAGAGCTAATGTTAATGCAGCAGATAATTTTCTGTGGACTCCACTTCATTTTGCATGCCATGCAGGCCAACAAGACATTGTTGAGCTTCTTGTTAAATCTGGGGCTTTAATAGATGCAGTTTCAATCAACAACTCAACTCCTTTAAGTAGAGCCATTGAAAGCTGTAGACTGGATACTGTGAAATACCTACTTGATATTGGTGCTAAATTCCAGCTGGAAAATAGAAAAGGTATGTGTTCATATTATTGATGATTAGGGTTGGAAAAGGAGAAGTTATGTTAGCTTCTAAGCCCCTTCTGATTCTATTCTCATAGGCTTGCATTGTCCCCTGGGTTCCTGGTGCAAACACAAGCCTGAGTTCAATGTTACGGAAGTTTGTCTTATGCCAAATACCAATCAACTCACTGGTGTCAGAGGGCCATTTCTTTATGTTTGCAATCTTTCATGGACTGAAATACTTTTGTAAAATACAATAAAAATGATTTCTTAGAAAAATAAAATGAAAAAAAAAACAAAATACAAGGTCAAATCTTTTTAATCTTTAAATTTTAATGACAAAATTATATTAAGTTGCTATAAGCATTTATAAACACTTATTTTCTGTAGTTACTTCACCATGGATCAGTAAATATTAGTTTGTGAACTTGCGCCAGTTTGCAAATCACACGTTGAATTATTACACTTTTATTACTGTTAATTCCTAATAATGGCCTACTCTGAAGACTCAGCCTCTATAGAATTTGGATTTCTTAACGCTGGACAAAGTAATTCCTGAATTGAGGCTTCCCTGACTCTAGGAAGTAAATACATGGCCTTGTATCATAAATACAATGCAGGAAAAATTTTAAAGTCATTTGAATATATTTGAGCTCTGGTTTGGAAGTATCATTTTCCTATTTTGGAAGCCATTGCTTGCTTTGACTCTAAGTGGGCATTGTACCTCTGGTTGGTTCAGGTGGCCTCTGACTCACAGGTACTACTGTACCTGTCCTGCCTGACGATATTATGGGTAACATAATGCGCAGCCATCAGCTTCCCCAGGCCTTTTGGAATTTACCTCCTTACATCAAGGAAAGGGGAAGATAATGCAAAACTATCACACAGAAGGAAATTTGCACAATATGGGGAGAGAACAATCAATTAGATATTTAAAATGTAATCTAATATTTCCTGTCACTCTTTTAAGAAACATAGTCAAAAAACTAAGAAAAAATAATTTTGTATATTTAAGTGGCACTATACATCATGGGATTTTAGAGCTGTGACTACCATAGAGAATATCTGACCTAGATCTGTGAACTTCCGTATAGATATCACTTGCTATAGGAATCACCTTTATTAGGGCAGGCTTAGAGCTGATGTGCTGAGATATTTTTCCACATGGTTTATCATTAATATGTTTATAGTTACTCTGAATTTATGTTTGTTTCAACAGGGCATACTGCCATGGATGTTGCAAAGGCATATGCTGATTATAGAATAATTGGTCTGATTAAAGAAAAGCTAGATAACTTGCAAAAATCAGCAGAAACTCAAAAACTAAAAGGCAAGACTCCTATACTGAAGACTGAAGGCCCTGAAATTAAGAAAGAAGAGGTAAGAAAAAAAGGGTGATTACCCATTAGTAATTGGAACTCTTTAAAAATCTGTTTAGGGGAAGCCAGCAGCACTATTTATATATTGTTGTACAACATGGGCAAGATAATATGCAGTGCATACTTTCAGTACCATTATTATATAGTACTTTTAAAGAAATAGCTAATAAAATTCCTATCACTGAAGAGCCTAAAAAGTACTCACTGCAAAGAGAATCCATACAAAAACCAAATGGGTTCATCCAAATACAATTAGAATGTTGAAAATGAAAACCAAAATTTGTATTATATATGTATGTATTGATCCTGAATTATACAGATTTGATGAGATGGTCCAAATAGGGAAGGAGACTAATCCTTATGAGGACTGAAATAAAGCATGATTTTTTCTTCATTTTGGTCCACCATATCCCCTTTCATTGCCTACCATATCCCTTCCCCCTACCTGCCGCCTACACCCACGAATTTTACTGCTGAATTCTGGGATATGGAGCCATTGTAACTAGACTATTCTGCAAAATGATTATAGAAGATTTTAAACATTTCTGGTAATCCAGAGTGCTTCTAAACTGCAGCAGAAAGTTGAAGTTGTTTCCCATGGGAGTTACTGAGACATCAAGACTTTACCATTAGCAGGGAACCCTAAGTGTGTCTCTAGGTTGGATGCTTTCTTTAAGGAAGCAGATTTACTGGAGACACTTGGCTGATATGGGACAAGAAATGAAAGTCAAGAAGGAAAAGCTTTAGTGTCATCAAATTGGAAAAGGTTGGGGAAATGTAGGGGTAAGAAGTAGATAGGATGAAGGGATTATAGACAGCAGAGTTGTAAATATGGAGGGTGTTAGGATGGCAAAAGGTGGATCAGTCAACTAAAGGAGGATCAATCAACTAAAGTTCTTCCTTTATGCACCGTTATTTAGTAGGATTCCATCCTTCTGATTAATGAGTGGCCACAGATCAAGGATGGGTATCTCAAAGACTTATGTGATCTTCTACCAATACTTCTAATTCAAGTTAAATAAGGCAAACTATCTCTCCCTATCTTCAAAGTTATAATAATATACTATTTTATCTCAAATTATAACTTGCACAGTAGCATTTTTAGGTTTTTTTTCTGGCTTCAGAATAAGATGTGAAACAGCAAATAATATTAGAAAGTAAATATAGATTTTTGCAATTTATAATTTTTGGTCTTGTTTCCAGGAACCACTGTCATCAATTTATGCTGTACCAACCATATCAGAGGGAAAGAAAGTGCCAAGGGATAGTGTGGTTCATCTCAATTCATTGATTACCAGTGGTTATACCAAGAAAGTGGATATCACATTTATCCCACGGAGGGTAAGTGCTTTGAAAGTATCTTCATAGCAAGGTAGAAGCTCATAATGTCATTTTTATCAAATGCTTTTTAAGTAGAATATCCAAACAAATCTACAAAATTTGTCTTTCACAGTTACTATTTGCGAATGTTCTTTTGTCAGGTTCTTTTTTTTTTTTTTTTTTTTTTCTTTTTTTTTTATTGCATTTTAGGTTTTGGGGTACATGTGATGAACATGCAAGATTGTTGCATAGGTACACACATGGCAGTGTGCTTTGCTGCCTTCCGTCCCCTCACCTGTATCTGTCATTTCTCCCCATGCTATCTCTTCCCACCTCCCCACCCCCCGCCCCTCCCCCATTTCCCCCCAACAGACCCCAGTGTGTAGTGCTCCCCTCCCTGTGTCCATGTGTTCTCATTGTTCAACACCCGCCTATGAGCGAGAATATACGGTGTTTGATTTTCTGCTCTTGTGTCAGTTTGCTGAGAATGATGGTTTCCAGGTTCATCCATGTCCCTATAAAGGACGTGAACTCATCGTTTTTGATGGCTGCATAATATTCCATGGTGTATATGTACCACATTTTCCCTATCCAGTCTATCATCGTTGGGCATTTGGGTTGGTTCCAGGTCTTTGCTATTGTAAATAGTGCTGCAATGAACATTCGTGTGCACGTGTCCTTGTAGTAGAATGATTTATAATCCTTTGGATATATACCCAGTAATGGGATTGCTGGGTCAAATGGGATTTCTATTTTTAGGTCCTTGAGGAATCGCCACACTGTCTTCCACAATGGTTGAATTAATTTACATTCCCACCAACAGTGTAAAAGTGTTCCTATTTCTCCACATCCTCTCCAGCATCTGTTGTTTCCCGATTTTTTAATGATCGCCATTCTAACTGGTGTGAGATGGTATCTCAATGTGGTTTTGATTTGCATTTCTCTGATGACCAGTGATGATGAGCATTTTTTCATATGTTTGTTGGCCTCCTGTATGTCTTCTTTTGTAAAGTATCTGTTCATATCCTTTGCCCATTTTTGAATGGGCTTGTTTGTTTTTTTCTTGTAGATCTGCTTTAGTTCTTTGTAAATTCTGGATATCAGCCCCTTGTCAGATGGGTAGACTGCAAAAATTTTTTCCCATTCTGTTGGTTGCCGATTCACTCTACTGACTGTTTCTTTTGCCGTGCAGAAGCTGTGGAGTTTGATTAGGTCCCATTTGTCTATTTTGGCTTTTGTTGCCATTGCTTTTGGTGTTTTGGTCATGAAGTCCTTGCCTACACCTATGTCCTGAATGGTTTTGCCTAGATTTTCTTCTAAGGTTTTTATGGTATTAGGTCTGATGTTTAAGTCTTTAATCCATCTGGAGTTAATTTTGGTGTAAGGTGTCAGGAAGGGGTCCTGTTTCTGCTTTCTGCACATGGCTAGCCAGTTTTCCCAACACCATTTATTAAACAGGGAGTCCTTTCCCCATTGCTTGTTTTTGTCAGGTTTGTCGAAGATCAGATGGTTGTGGGTATGTTGTATTTCCTGTGAGGCCTCTGTTCTGTTCCATTGGTCTATATCTCTGTTTTGGTACCAGTACCATGCTGTTTTGATTACTGTAGCCTTGTAGTATAGTTTGAAGTCCGGTAGTGTGATGCCTCCCGCTTTGTTCTTTTTGCTTAGAATTGACTTGGCTATGCGGGCTCTCTTTTGGTTCCATATGAAGTTTAAGGTGTTTTTTTCCAGTTCTGTGAAGAAGGTCATTGGTAGCTTGATGGGAATAGCGTTGAATCTGTAAATTACTTTGGGCAGTATGGCCATTTTCACGATGTTGATTCTTCCTAACCATGAACATGGAATGTTTCTCCATCTGTTTGTATCCTCTCTTATTTCGTTGAGCAATGGCTTGTAGTTCTCCTTGAAGAGGTCCTTTACGTTCCTTGTTAGTTGTATTCCTAGGTACTTTATTCTCTTTGTAGCAATTGTGAATGGCAGTTCGTTCTTGATTTGGCTCACTTGAAGTCTATTACTGGTGTATAGGAATGCTTGTGATTTTTGCACGTTGATTTTGTATCCTGAGACTTTGCTGAAGTTGTTTATCAGTTTCAGGAGATTTTGGGCTGAGATGATGGGGTCTTCCAGATATACAATCATGTCATCTGCAAATAGAGACAATTTGATTTCCTCCTTTCCAATTTGGATACCCTTTATTTCTTTTTCTTGCCTGATTGCTCTGGCTAGAACTTCCAGTACTATATTGAATAGGAGTGGTGAGAGAGGGCATCCTTGTCTAGTGCCAGATTTCAAAGGGAATGCTTCCAGTTTTTGCCCATTCAGTATGATATTGGCTGTTGGTTTGTCGTAAATAGCTTTTATTGTTTTGAGATACGTTCCGTCAATACCTAGTTTATTGAGGGTTTTTAGCATAAAGGGTTGTTGAATTTTGTCAAAAGCCTTCTCTGCATCAATCGAGACAATCATGTGGTTTTTGTCTTTGGTTCTGTTTATGTGGTGAATTACGTTTATGGACTTGCGTATGTTGAACCAGCCTTGCATCCCCGGGATGAATCCTACTTGATCATGGTGGATGAGCTTTTTGATATGCTGTTGCAATCGGTTTGCCAGTATTTTATTGAAGATTTTTGCATCTATGTTCATCATGGATATTGGCCTGAAATTTTCTTTTCTTGTTGAGTCTCTGCCGGGTTTTGGTATCAGGATGATGTTTGTCTCGTAAAATGATTTGGGAAGGATTCCCTCTTTTTGGATTGTCTGGAATAGTTTCAGAAGGAATGGTATCAGCTCCTCCTTGTATGTCTGGTAGAATTCAGCTGTGAACCCATCTGGACCTGGGCTTTTTTTGGGTGGCAGGCTCTTTATTGCTGCCTCGACTTCAGACCATGTTATTGGTCTATTCAGGGTTTCAGCTTCTTCCAGGTTTAGGCTTGGGAGGTTGCAGGTGTCCAGGAATTTATCCATTTCTTCCAGGTTTACTAGTTTATGTGCATAGAGTTGTTTGTAATAATCTCTGATGATGGTTTGGATTTCTGTGGAATCTGTGGTGATATCCCCTTTATCATTTTTTATTGCATCAATTTGGTTATTCTCTCTTTTCTTTTTTATTAATCTGGCTAGTGGTCTGTCTATTTTGTTGATCTTTTCAAAAAACCAGCTCCTGGATTTATTGATTTTTTGAAGAGTTTTTTGTGTCTCTATTTCCTTCAGTTCTGCTCTGATCTTAGTTATTTCCTGTCTTCTGCTAGGTTTTGAGTTTTTTTGATCTTGCTCCTCTAGCTCTTTCAATTTTGATGATAGGGTGTCAATTTTAGATCTCTCCTTTCTTCTCATGTGGGCACTCATTGCTATATATTTTCCTCTAGAGACTGCTTTAAATGTGTCCCAGAGATTCTGGTATGTTGTGTCTTCGTTCTCATTGGTTTCGAAGAACATCTTTATTTCTGCCTTCATTTCATTGTTTATCCAGTCAACATTCAAGAGCAAGTTGTTCAGTTTCCATGAAGCTGTGCGGTTCTGAGTTAGTTTCTGCATTCTGAGTTCTAACTCGATTGCACTGTGGTCTGAGAGACTGTTTGTTATGATTTCTGTTCTTTTGCATTTGCTGAGGAGTGATTTATTGCCAATTATGTGGTCAATTTTAGAGTAGGTGTGATGTGGTGCTGAGAAGAATGTATATTCTGCGGATTTGGGGTGGAGAGTTCTGTAAATGTCTATTAGGTTTGCTCGTTCCAGGTCTGTGTTCAGGTCCTGGATATCCTTGTTGATTTTCTGTCTGGTTGATCTGTCTAATATTGACAATGGGGTGTTAAAGTCTCCCACTATTATTGTGTGGAAGTCTAAGTCTCTTTGTAAGTCATTAAGAACTTGCCTTATGTATCTGGGTGCTCCTGTATTGGGTGCATATATATTTAGGATCGTTAGCTCTTCTTGTTGCAGTGATCCTTTTACCATTATGTAATGTCCTTCTTTGTCTCTTTTGATCTTTGTTGCTTTAAAGTCTATTTTATCAGAGATGAGAATTGCAACTCCTGCCTTTTTTTGCTCTCCATTTGCTTGGTAGATCTTCCTCCATCCCTTTATTTTGAGCCTTTGTGTATCCTTGCATGTAAGATGGGTTTCCTGGATACAGCACACTGATGGGTTTTGGCTTTTTATCCAATTTGCCAGTCTGTGTCTTTTGATTGGGGCATTTAGTCCATTGACATTTAGGGATAGTATTGTTATGTGTGAATTTGATGCTGTCATTTTGATGCTACCTGGCTGTTTTGTTGGTTAGTTGATGCAGATTCTTGATTGTGTTGCTGCTTTTTTACCATTTGGTGTGTTTTTGGAGTGGCTGGTACTGGTTGTTCCTTTATATGTGTAGAGCCTCTTTCAGGAGTTCTTGTAGAGCAGGTTTGGTGGTGATGAAATCTCTGAGTGCTTGCTTGTTCACAAAGGATTTTATTTTTCCTTCACTTATGAAGCTGAGTTTGGCTGGATAGGAGATTCTGGGTTGAAAGTTCTTTTCTTTAAGGATGTTGAATATTGGCCCCCAGTCTCTTCTGGCTTGTAGGGTTTCTGCTGAGAGATCTGCTGTGAGTCTAATGGGCTTCCCTTTGTGGGTAACCCGACCTTTCTCTCTGGCTGCCCTTAGCATTTTCTCTTTCATTTCAACCCTGGTGAATCTGACGATTATGTGCCTTGTGGTTGCTCTTCTTGAGGAATATCTCTGTGGTGTTCTCTGTATTTCCTGGATTTGAATATTGGTCTGCCTTGCTAGGTTAGGGAAGTTTTCCTGGATAATATCCTGAAGAGTATTTTCCAGCTTGGATTCATTCTCTTCATCACATTCAGGTACACCTATCAGACGTAGATTAGGTCTTTTCACATAGTCCCACATTTCTTGAAGATTTTGTTCATTCCTTTTTGCGCTTTTTTCTCTGTTCTTGCCTTCTCTTTTTATTTCATTGAGTTGGTCTTCGACCTCTGATATCCTTTCTTCTGCTTGGTCAATTCGGCTGTTGAAGCTTGTGCATGCTTCACGAAGTTCTCATGTTGCGTTTTTCAGCTCCATCAATTCACTTATTCTCCTCTCTATGCTGTCCATTCTCGTCAGCAGTTCGTCCAATCTTTTTTCAAGGTTCCTATTTTCTTTGCGATGGGTTAGAACATGTTCTTTTAGCTCATTGTAGTTTCTTACTACCCATCTTCTGAAGTCTGATTCTGTCATTTCATCACCCTCCTTCTCCATCCGGTCTGGTTCCCTTGCTGGTGAGGAGTTGTGATCACTTTTAGGAGGAGAGGTGTTCTGGTTTCGGGAGTTTTCTTCCTTTTTACGCTGGTTTCTACCCATTTTTGTGGGTTTATCCACCTGTTGTCTGTCTCTGTCCCAGGGAGTTGGAGCTTTATGAGTTTCCGTTGCACTACTGCCTTTTTTGATTTTTCTTTCAGGTCGGACCCGCCCAGCTAGCAGCACGCCTAGCCTCTGCCTGCCCACAGGGGCTTTGCTGAGCTGCTGTGGGCTCCGCCCAGCTGCCCTGAGCTCTTCCCTGTAGTCCTTTTTATATGGGCGTAGTTAGAACTGTCTGGGCAATGGTGGCCCCGCCTCTGTTATGGGGGACTCTCTCTGTTGTGGCAGGTTGCCTCGGCAACGGCGGGTTGCCTCGGCAACGGCAGCCTGCCTCCGTAGCGGTGGAGAGTCTCAGTAATGGCGGAAGCCCCTCCCCCACGGAGCCGGACCGTCCCGGTTCAGCTGTGCTTGGTTTGAAGGGCTCAACCCAGAGGGTTTCCAATTACTGTTTTTGTTTTCGTTGTTGTTGGGGGTGGAGGGGTGGGACCAACCGAGCCTGATCACCTGGCTCCCTGACTCTGAGTCTTTTCTTTTAAGTTGAACGACCCCGCGTTCCGGTCGCTTGTTGAAAAGGCGCCGGGATCTCCCGTGCTGCGACTCACGGAGTCGGCTCGAACCGCGGCGCAGGCTCCTGGCAGATTTTTTGCCTAGGAATCTCCTGGCCTGGCTCGCTATTTCAGATGAATGGGCTATTCTGCCGTCTCAAGGCTCTGCTCGCCAGCTAAGAGGGCTCCCAGACCAGTGGCTTTTGTACGGAGAACCGCAGCAACAGGGAGTGGTCACAGCAGCCGCGCGGGCGGAATCAGCCCCTCGGGGGCCAAAACAGCCGCACCGGCTGGGACTGCGACGCTGGCGACCCCTCTGCCTGGGTATCTCCTGGTCTGTGGGCAATAAGAGTTCGTCTGGAAATGCGGCGTCCACTCACCCTCTGCACTTTCACTGGGAGCTGAAGTCCTGAGCTGTTCTTAGGCGGCCATCTTGAAAGTCGGATCTCTTTTGTCAGGTTCTGCTATTTTCAACTCAGTATGCCCAACTAATAGTTCCTGGCATCTGGTTCTCTTTCTATTACTATTTCTGTATTGAAATTTACATTTTCCTAGAAAGGTTGAAGTATTTGTGAATCAATGGCATGTTCTCTAGCTGTTTAGTCACCAAGTCCTAAGGATACCTTTTTTGGGGGAATACTTCACAGACCCAACCCATCTTTGTACTTACTACTACCAGCTCACTTGGGAGTTTCATATCAAACAAGACTGGATTTATTCAGTAGCTTCCTCAAACATCCACAACTAAAGAGGTGGAGGCATCTTATGGGGAAAATAATTGTCTTTTCATTGCCCATCCAACCACGCTGAACAAGCAGCTCCCCTCGCCTTCTATTATAAAAATAATTTTGACTTCTACATAAGACATGCAGGTAGTAAGCCCAGATGATCTTCTAACTCCTTTGCTTCCCTATTTTGGTATTCTAAAAAACAAACAGCAGCTGGTCTGAGCATACCTGGCCAGAGAAGTAACTGGAGAACATTTCTGACATTAGATATTTAGACAGTCATCATCAGAAACAGTGTGATGTTCATGTAACCACTGGTGTCATATGAGAGAGGGGAAGAAGTTAAAACACATCTAAAAGTTAATTTAATAGTTTTAAGTTAAAACTATAAAGAAGTTTTTAAGTTAAAACTGTGTACTGAAAATTGTCTGGATACTAGCATATTTACTGGCTGTCATACTCATACCTGCTCGGGCATGGCTATTTTTTTTTTTTTTAAGATTTGGAGTCCTGAAGCCACAACAGCAGAGCTGATCAGGAAGAGGGAACTGCGGCGGGAGAGGTTTACATATGAAGTGGACTTCGATGATTTTATGATGCCTTTTCAGAAGAACATCACAGAAAAAGCTCGAGCAATGGAAGCTGCCTTGAAGACCTAAGTCGCAGCAGTTACTTCTTGGGATAAATGCTTTGGGACCCAGGGACCAATCTTTGGAGAAAGTAGAGATTTCCATCAAAGCCAAAGCAATCCGTACACCAAGAACTTGTTACCAAATCTTTCTTCTTGCTTTAACAACTCTTAAGTATTCTGAGCTGTCTAGAGATGTATGTTATTTTGAGATGAATGTTATGTCATTCTGGATAAATCCCCAAACCCCTTTATGAAGGTAGTGAAATACATGGCATGTGGGTTATAAACATGCTGTCAAAAGATTTCCCAGGTCTCAAACTCCTGAGCTCAAGAAATCCTCCCAACTGGGCTGCCCAAAGTGCTGGGATTATAGGTGTGAGCTACTGTGCCAAGCCTGCTTATTAAATATGCATTTCTAGTGGAAATTGATGAAAACAATTTAGGTTTTAGAAAGAGAAGCGTATTTAATCTTTTAAGGAAGGAGTTTATTTCTCACATGCTATTATAAAGTGTGTGTATCGGATACCTTGGGTTGAATATACTTTCAACAGCCCCAGCTGTTAAAAGCCCTAGCCCTAGATACATAGCCCCAGCCCTAGATTAATAGATATTAGGTTGGTGCAAAAGTAATTGCAATTTTTACCATTACCTTTAATTGCAGCAAAAATCACAATTACTTTTGCTTCAACCTGATAGCTAGCTAGAAAGACAGATAGATGATTGATTGATAGATCAAAAGATAGGTAGATGAAGAGATTTATTGCAAAGAGTTGGCTTACATAATTTTGGGGCCTGGATGGTCAAGTGCTAAATTTGTAGGGTAGGCTGTCAGGAAGTACAGGCTGGAAACATGCACGAGCTGTCCCTGAAGTTCACAAGTGGAATTTCTTCATCACAGAAACCTCAGTTTTGTTCGTATCCCTAAATACTTCAGTATGTGTTTCCTAAAAGAAAAGGCATCCATTTACCTAATCAGATTACGATTGTCAAAATTTCAACTGTTGTTAAAGTGACTGATGGGGTCAGGTTCATCTAAATTATCTAAGACAATCTCCTTTACATGAAGTCAGTGTTGGTTGCATATACACAATTCCTTCACCACAACACCTAAGATTAGTATTTGATTGAGTTACTGCTTCCTATAACCTAGCCACGTTGAGACATAAAATTGACTATCTCTGGAGGTGTACTCCGGAATAAAAAGCTAGCTGAGGCATTGCTCACACCAGGAAACGCAGTGGGTACTAAACAGGAGCTCCAAAAATAACCAATGTCCCACTGGCCAAAAAAGAAGTCACTTTAGAATCTGTCTTACTAGAAGGCACTAACTCCAGATTACAACTTGTCAGTCACATATGGATTAAACCCCTTTCCTCTAACCTCCTCCCTCTCTTTCCAAACTTGGAGGAAACTTTCACAGGAGCCAGTCATGGAGGAGAAGGGAAGAGAGACAGTGAAGCAGGTAACCATGTCCACCTCTTTGGAGGAGACAGAGCTGAACAGGGGTTGCTTACAAGCATTGCCATTTGGAGCCAGGAGATTTGCTATTACAACTACATTTTGTCTGTTATGTAAGGTTTTGTTTTCGTTTTTTGTTATTTTTCCTTTGACTTAATTTCATATTTGTGGAAAGTTGCAATAATTTTACAAAGAACTCCTATATGCCCTTTACCCAGATTACCTAAATGTTAACCACTTATCACATTTGTTTATCTCTTTCTCCCTCTACATATGTGTGTGTGTATGTTTAATTTTCTTCCCCAATTGTTTGTCAGTTGAAGATTTGATGTTCTTTCTCACTAAACATTTCATTGTATATTTCCTAAAATCACAGTGTTCTTTTGCATAACAATATCACCATTGGCAAAATAAGGAAATTAACACTTAAATGAACTATTTAATCTATAGACTTTATTCAGATTTTGCTTTCTGTCTCAATAATTTCCTTTGTACTCCCAGGTCATAAAATACATTCATTTGCCCCATCTCTTTAGTCTCTTTTAGCTTAGAACAGTCTATTTTTCTTTGCTTGTTTGTTTGTTTATGACAGTATATAAGAACAAGCTAGTTATCCTGTAAAGTGTCTCTCAACTTTGGTTAGTCTTATATGTCTTCAAGAATAGATTCAGGTGATGCTTTGGGGGCAGTGCACCCTTCTCAGTACATCATATCAGGAGGCACATGAAGTTGACACATGATGTAAACTTTGTAAACTTTAACTGAATTTGCAGTTGAGAGAAATGCAAATAAAAGTAAAGATGCAGTAATAAATCATAACTGCATAAAATTAACTGTAGTACATACTGTACAACTCTAATAATTTCATAGCCACCTCTTATTGCTATTGTGTTGAGTTCAAATGTTGTCTTTTCTCAACTTTATTGTAAGAATACAATATATATAACATACTGAATATGTGTTAATTGGCTGATTAGGCTATCAGTAAGGCTTATAGTCAATAGCAGGCATCCCCAAACTACGGCCCACGGGCCGCATGCGGCCCCTCTGAGGCCATTTATCCGCCCCCGCCCCGCCGCACTTCAGGAAGGGGCACCTCTTTCATTGGTGGTCAGTGAGAGGAGCACAGTATGTGGTGGCCCTCCAGTGGTCTGAGGGACAGTGAACTGGCCCCCTGTGTAAAGTTTGGGGATGCCTGGTCAATAGTAAGCTATTAGTAGCTAAGGTTTCGGGGAGGCAAACCTTATACATGGAGTTTTGACTGCAAGGAGAGTCAGTACCCCTAACTCCCTAGTAGTTTCCTTGTACTTAATATCTTATGGATAGGTACTTTGAAACTATGAAAATTTGCTTTTACTTTTATACTTTCACCTACTAATTTTACCATCTGTGGATGATTCTTGCCTAAAATACTTATTACAGTATCAGTTGCAATAAAATAATTTCTACATTTTATCATTATTTCCATTTCTTACTTAGCCTTCTGCTATTGGGCAGAGCTTTCTTTTTTTCCTCACTGATTTATGTATTCAAATCAGTGTAGACTCATGAATTCCCTTTTTATTTAATGGGAATTGTATATGTGTGGGGACCAACTCAGAACTCCAGAGTTGACATAAAGATTATTTTAAGCCAAAGACATTTGAGATTTAACATACCATATGCAAGGGAAAAAAAGCCTTCTCAGACCTTTGCTTATCTGACTACAAGCAGTAACTTCTAGAAAATAAGGCTGCCATAATCAGGTTTCATCTGCTTCTAGAACACAAATAATCCTACCCCAAATCCCTTCTACAGAAGTGTTGTATGGCCCTGAAGGAAATGTAAAGACCATTTATACCTGTATAGATAAACATTACCACATGTATTTTTATCTCCTGTTTGTTCACCTGAAAACCCATGTATCTTTTAAAAAAAGTCATTGTGTTTATATAAATGCCTTCTCCCCCTCTGCTTTACTTATCAAGATGATATATGAACCACCAATTTTAACTATCCCTTTGAGTTACTCATCACTGAGTTCTCCCAAGAGTATATGCCTTGCATGCATAAATAATTTTTTTTTCTCCTGTTAAAATGCCTTTTGTCGGTTTAATTCACAGGCTCCAGGCATTGAACCTAAGAGGGCAGAGGAAAAGTTAATTCTCCCCTATATGATCGTTTACTATTATTATTAATTTTGATGTTCAAATTGTTCCTAATTTAACTAGTGGAAAACCCTTCAAGTTGGCTCCTGATAAAAAGACATTTTGTTTTCTAAAATAATCAGAGGACTCTTTATTTCTTAAATGTGAGAGAAAATGCCTACCCTTGGCTTCCCTCAAGAACAAGGAAAATGACTGCAACAGCAGATTTTCAGAGGTGACCACTTTCTGTTTTCACTCTAGTGAGTACAACATTTTTAAAATGTCAGTTTGATACATAGTGGTGTCCTGGGATCACCTTCAGCGACTTGCAACTATAAACTGAGAGTGAACATTAATGTTAGGTCCTATTAACTTTACCCACATATGGAATGTTTTTATTTTAATTCCTCACCAACATGTTTAAAGGGGAGTTGTGTGAGGGGAACAGTTACACAATTGACTGAGTTTATTTGGAGTTTAATGCTAAACCCAAACAGAGCAGAGGCACAGTTCTAACAGTGGCCTAGAAGAACATCAATGCTATTCAAAGAGTGGTCCATAGGCCAGCAGCATCAGCTCACAGTGAGCTTGGTCCCACTCCCCGCTGCCCAAAATTATAGTACTGAAGTTTATATGAGCATAACAAAAATGTTGTAGAGGAAATCTTACTGGCATAAAAAGACCATCAATGTTGCATGAAAAGTATACTACAAGCAAGTAGTATAATATCAAACTTGTAAACGCGCAACACGCACATAAATAGTAATTTTTCTGGGTCTTAGAATTATGAGTTAATCTGACCTTTATTGTTTTATTTTGGCATACCTGTATCTTCTGTTTCTCTCTCTTACTTTTTCTCTCTTTCTCTCTCTTTTACAATGTACATGTACTGTACATGTACTTTGTAATTAACAATTTTTTTAAAAAAAAAAAGTTAACACAGAAGTATTTGCTACTTTTAATGCCTTTTTGTGCATTGCATTAAGATTCTCTCAGAAGACATGGAGCCAATAATTCAAGGAGGAAATAATGTGTGAAGGGAGTGCTCCCAGAGGAGAGCAGTAAGGTGTATGAAACAGGACAGGGAAATGAAAAGAGCCAAAGAAGGGTGAGATTTCAGATGAAGCCACAGCTTCTGAGTAGCCCTTGGGATCTGTAGTGCACAGGCAAGGAGCTGGCTTCTAGGTTCCTGTATCAGCCAATAGCTGCAGGCTCGAAGGTCTACTAGCAAGGCTGATCCAGTGCTCAAGGGCAAGTCTGCAAAGGTCATGGTGAGAATTATTGACTAGAAAGCATGCAGAAGCTACGGCTGCAGGCATAGCATAGGAAAGGGGACAAACGCACTTATCTTTAAACTTACACTTTGGTGAACTGGGTAAGACTGTGGGTTTTATATTAGCAGACCTGGATTTGAATCTGCATACTGTTAGTAATCTGCATTTACTGTCTGCTTGCCTGTGGATTAAGTTATGAATGGTCATGACTCCCGATTTTATCATTTATAAACTAGGAATAATAGTAATATGTCCCTCAATGAACTCTTATGAGACTCTAGTGGAATAACGTCTTTAAGGGTGCTCAGTCTGTGTCTACACCTAGTTGGTGGTCAATATGTGGTTTGTTTTTAATCATCATTCAGGAGGAAAAGTGAACCAAAAGAAGGCACAGGAAGGAATAAGGACCCAGACCTGGACAGTCAGAACAGAAAGGGCTTCCTGGTGCAGATTCACTTTCAAGCCATCAAAGTGATTTAAACAGATATATGCGTGGGTTTGTCTATCCATATATACATATAGATATAACACCATATATATATCACACTATATATATATATCACCACTATATATCTATATATCACCACCATCTATCATATCTATCTATATATAGAGAGAGAGAGAGAGTTTTTTTTTTGAGACAGGGTCTCACTGGAGCAGCAGCGGCGCAGTCACGGCTCATTGCAACCTTTCCCTCCTGGGTTCAAGAGATCCTCCTGTCTCTGCCTGCTGATTTTTTAAAAAATATTTTGTAGAGATAGAGTTTCACCACGTTGGTCAGGCTCGAACTTCCAACCTCAAGTGATCAGTCTGCTTCCGCCTCCCAAAATACTAGGATTACAGGCCTGAGCCACCGCACCTGGTCCTGAACATGCAGATATTTTATCTGCATATTTATCCACTTTATCTAGTTTCTCATCAGAGAAAAATGAAAAATTCCTATTTGCCGTGAGATGTAGTTACTAATTTCAGTAGTAGTTCCAGTGGATTGTGGCCCAAAGGTTATCTAGGTAATTACTAGTTAGGTAATTAAAATAATGTCTTACGTCAAGTTTCCTAGAAATAGCTTAGATGGGGAATCTAGTGCAAGTGACTTACCGAGGAGGAATGTGTC